CCCAGTTTTCTTTTGTTTCAGGTTTGCCTGGTTATATCTTTTACCATACCCTTTTTGGAAACTTTTCTGAATTCTTTTGTTTTATGTATCTCTTTGTAAATGACACATTGCTGGATTTTGTTTCTTACCCAACCTAAGAATCTTCTGGCATTTTGATTCTGCATCACTGTGGGTGAAATTTCTTTTTAGTTACTAATTACTTAGATTATAATAATTCCATTCTAAGTCCATCTGTATTGGCTTTATCTGATCCTGAATTTATTTCTCTTCTTATTGCATTACATTCCACAGAACTTCTGTCAAATAGTATCTTTGGCCTGTGAATTTCCTGAGACCTTGTATGCTGAGAATTTATTTTTCCTTCAATTTAAATAATAGTTTACTAACTATATATAAAAATTCTAGGTTCAGAGTCCTTTTCCTTTAATACAATATCTTTAAAGTTCATACTACATATCTTATACCTTAACATGACTATTGAGAAGTTTGATGTCAGTGCTGCTCCTCCCGTATGCAGGGGTATGCCTTTTCTTTATGGAAGCTTTTAGCCTTTGCTCATGGTCTACAACAGTCTTAGTTATCCTTATATTATGTGTTGTTGTGGATTTTCACTTAACTATCCTGTTCACTGCTCTGCATACCCTTTCAGTCTAAGATTTGAATAATTCTGTATCTGCGATTTTTTGTCATTATTTCTTCAGATATTTTTTCTCTTCTGTTTTGTCTTTGCTTTCCTTCTAGGGTTCCCATTATATAGATGTTCACAGTTCTGTTCCTCTTCTTAACTTTATCCCATGTTTGTTCTGTCTTTTCATCCTTATACTATGCCTTCTGGGAGAGTTCTACCCAGTGTTCCAGCTCACCAGTTTATTCTCAGTCTGTAGCTATTGTGCGTTCAGTTCATCCTCTGAGTTTTTTATTTCAAACTACTGTATTTTTAATACCTGCTATCTCGTATTGATTCCCCTTCATAGCTGGTTTTTTTGTATTAAATTTCTAGAAATCTTTTATCTTTAAAGATGTTATTATGCTTATAGTATATTCTTGCTCAGTATATTCTTTTTTCTCTGGATGAAGTTGCTCCATTTGTTTTGTTATTCCTGTGCTTATTCACCTCAGAGGTCTTAAAATTTTCCTGTGGACTTCTCTTTTATTTCTTTGCAACATTCGGCTGCCTTGGCTAGTAGCTTTAAGGAGAGGCATAAAAGTCTAGATCTGGCTTACGCTTCTCTGGGATAATTTAAAAACTAGAGTGCAAAGCCTCTAGTGTTGTGTTCTGGCCTGAATCAACCACATTTTCCACTGTGTCCTCATACTCCTTCAAAACCATAAAACAAAGCGAAACAAAACAACCACGCACCACACGCATACAAACAACTCCTAATACCACTCTCCCAAACAACCACTTGCCTTTGGAGTTGCCTTGCTCTTCGTGTGCTGTGGAGATAGAGTGGGGCTGTGTAGGACCACCCAGAGACCTGAATTGGTTGCTCCTGATTTTCCATCCAACCTTGTCTTCATGTTTAGATGTCAGACCCTTACTAGTTGAATATACACTATGCAGGCACTGTGATGGATGCTGGGATATAAAAATTTTAAAGATGCAATCCACGTTCTCAAGGAGTTTTCATTCTAGTGATGTCAGTGGGAAAGTAATTAGGTATTTATATAAAGTATGATAAATTATGTGAAGAGAACACATGGGAAGAGTTGATTAGTTCATTTGTGAGGACCAGAGAAGGTTTCCCTTCCTGTACGGAATGAGTCCTGAAGGATGTTTTGTTGTTGTTGTGTTGTTGTTTTGTTTTGTTTTTGTTTATAAGTTAGATTAGGAATGACTAAAGGAGGCTGGGAGAAAGGAGCATGTCAGGTAGAGAGAGCAAGTGGTTCAGTGGTGAGGGAAGCCAGGTGAATAATTTCTTATGGCTATTGCTGTCACAGTTTTGGCAATGTAGCTTTGGCAGGGTAACAGAGGGAATGAGTTAACTGGTGTGTAGTAGGGGTTGATTTTGTAGTAGGATTTGGATTTTGAAAAGGAAATGACATGATCAAGCTTACATTTTAGGAAGATCTTGCTGTGTTATGGACATGAGGCGAGGCAGGAGCCATTGGGACCCATTAAGAGGCTTTACAGTAGCCTGGGAGAGAAAAGAAGATGACCTAAAATAAAGTAGTACCTGTGAGGATAGAAAGAAGTGGCTAGCTCTAAATGATAATTAAGGACGTTGGGTAGCCAAGACTCTGTGATTGATTACATTTGTTTATGTTTGGTAGTAGAAGAAAGGGTATGCATCAAGGATGATGCCTAGTTTTCTTTCATGCATACCATTCAAAATGCCTATTTCCTAAATATCATTTAAAGAATCATTTGGAAATATAGCAAAGCAATAGTCTAATCAGCCTTTTTTGTTTTAAGAACAGATTGTTATCCTTAATTCCAAAATACAAATAGCTCAAGAAACTGGGAGATTTTCCCTAAGTTTGTGACAAACTAATTGACAGTAAAACTGACGTTGAAATGAAGTTACGCATAGTCTTTGTTTATCCTATTTTGTATGGACATTCATGTTGCTTTCAGAATTATTGATGTGTATAATGATGAGATGCTGCTTCAAACCTTGTTGCCAGTGTTACATGACATACAGTATACTATACGTCTTATTACCTTTCTAGAATCTAAAATGCTCTGATGAAGCATGTCTGATTCCATGGTTTCAGATAGTAAATTATGATCTTGTACTTTGAGCATTTTTGTTCTTTTATATTGCAGTATTATTTTCTAATAAGAACCATTATGTGACAATGTAGCGATGGGGGAAAAATGAAGTAGATTTGTATTTTATAGTTCAACCTTTGAGGTAGAATGCCAAATGAAGGGACAAGATAGTGAGTATAGGATGCTTCTGTTTGGGTTTAAGAAAAAAATAGAGGAGGAGAAAGACACATACACACACAAACATACAGAATATCTTTGGAAGGACAAACAAAGAGCTAGTACCTGGTTGAGAACTGGGAGTCAGTGATGGTTGAGAACTGAGTAAGACTCAGTTTTATGGCAGGTGCACACACACATTGATTGCACTGTCAGATATTTCATTATGTGCATTATTTTTTTGTTTACATTTTAAATTACACGGTGACTGTATGAGAACGCCCTTGTGAAAGCGTAAAGTTTTATTTGACTCCCAGTTCCAGCAAATGCATTAAATTTGTAATAATAAAGTAAAAATTATTTATGTACCTGTTAACCTTGTCTCATTTCTTCATACAGTTTATTCCTGTCAATTGTCATTAGGACTACATCCAGAGAATGAGTTTCAGAAATCCTTAAATTTTTAAGTGTTGAATATATAGTATCACTAAGATTGTCAGAGGTAGAAAGTAGGGAAGAGAATGGTTAAAGATGAGCGCTAATCAGTAGATGTTGGAATTTATTCCCAGTGTGCCAATTGGGCAGTGAGAGCAAAAGTTGGAAGCCATGAATATAGTTTTCAGGCAGCAGATCTGAAGGGAAAATGATCGGGAAATTTGGAAAGATTGTATGGCAGGACAAAGGAAACAGAGAGAAGTATATTTTTGGCAGAGAGAATTGGAGACAGAAATAGAAGAGAAGTAAACTTGGGGCCCCTTTAGAGAAAGAAAGAGGTGTGAGAGAAAGATTAAACATCATGAATGCAATGCTGTTGTTGGATGCTTCATAATTATTATCTGCAATGTAGTAGAAGTATATTTTCATGTTAAAAATACAAGGGGTGGTATTTATGATGGGATTAAAATACTACTTGGTCTGAGTGAGGAAATTCTAAGTCCATTTGTCACTACTAAATTAGTATAAACTAATATCGGGGAAAAAAACAACTAATTGCCACATTTCACCAAATGTATGTTTAAATTATCTTTGTTACTGACACATTCATGTGTGTTTTTAGTTCCATCAGCGATCTTTTTTATAGTGAAAAACAAGTTAAATACTTAAAATATATCATGATATTTGATGTTTGTGTCTTCTTTGGTGATACTTTGTTCTTTAGTATTATAATTATCTTAGGTCCTGATTTGTAGTGTACACTAAATAAAATTAATGTCAAGCAAAAAGTTCTTAAGATGTAGTTATTTACATATGTAGTCACTGGGGCACCTGGGTGGCTCAGTGGTTGAGCGTCTGGCTTTGGCTCAGGGCATGAATCCGGGGTCCTGGGATCGAGTCCCACATCAGGCTCCCCAAAGGCAGCCTGTTCTCCCTCTGCCTATGTCTCTGCCTCTCTCTCTATGTCTCTCATGAAAAAAAAAAAAGATATGTACTCACAAATATATTCTTTATGTGTATATTTTTTATATAGAAATGCAATCGTTGGGCAGCCCCAGTGGCTTAGAGGTTTGGCGCCGCCTTCAGCCCAGGGCGTGATCCTGGGGACCGGGGATCAAGTCCCACGTTGGGCTCCCTGCATGGAGCCTGCTTCTCCCTCTGCCTTGTCTCTGCCTCTGTCTCTCTCTCTGTGTCTCTCATGAATAAATAAATAAAATCTTTAAAAAAATGCAATCGTTGGTGGATGGATTTTTAATAAAGCAGATATAGTAAAATGTCCATAGTAGAATCTAGATGGTAGTATGAACATTTTTATAGTAAATTTTGGAGAAAACATAAATTCTAATGAAAAAGCTAATGTAAAATAAATAGATGTGTGAATAGTAAAATAATAGTACTCGACTTCCTTTTGTTCTCTGCTGACTTAGAAAACTCTGAAGCATTTTATTATGGAATCCCAATTTTAGTGGTAATATTATTAGATGTAAATGAATTATCTGTTATCTGTTATTTGTTCCATCAAAATTACTCCTTTTGATGGAAAATGTTCTGTCCTTAAAAACCGTGTTATTGTGAACATTAGTGATGATATCTGAAAAAATTATAAGAATTTATAAAACATATTTGAGGTAAATGTAAATTATAGCAGGCAAGTGTTTAGCAACTATTTAGAACTTTTATTCTTCTATTTTAGGGAATCTGGAAACATCAAAGCTGGATTAGAACATCTGGTAAGTTCTAATTTTCTCTTGAACATTTGCATCATCTTTGATATCTGCATTCTAAATGAACACTTTTGAATGAGCTTTGAATACCTTGTATTGAGAAAGTCAACTATTTCCCAAAGGGTCAGCTTACTGTTATTATGTGAAGGCACTTACATTTTCATTTATCTTATCATTTCAAGGGAATTTAAAATTTTTTTAAAATTACTTTTTTTTTTTTTTGATGTAGAGATGAAATAAAATGGATGACAATCCTTGGATTGATGATTGCTTTAATTATAAACAAAAATGTTTGGTGTAGAATTTTTGGCATATCTTGATCTGACAAAAACAAGCTTGTGTTTTAAGAAAAACACAATCAAATATTGCATGCATAAATATGGTATGTTTTAGCAATTTAACGGCTTTGAAAGAAGGGCACAGCTTTGTTTTTCCTGATGTCTTAGCTTTATGAATAATGCATTCGTTTAAACTACATTCAGTTTTAGAATATAAAATAATTGAGATGCAAAATTTTTGGTTTAAGTAAACATTTTTAAAGTACAAATGAAATTCAACTGACTTAACATTAAAATCTGTCCATTGATCAAAAAATTAGAAAAACTGTTCTGTTATACCAGGTCCAAAATTCATTTAGCTTCCTTCATTGAGTGTTCATTACAACATTAAGTAGTTCATTTAAACAAAGCATTATAAAGTCATGCTCTGGTTTCTGGTCAAATCCAAATGTTGAATAATTAATGATAGAGATTCTTTTGTAAATACAATCTAAGTACTTTTTTAATGCAAGACTTCATTCGTATATCATATTGTAGCTTTGTTAACTATTAATGTGCTTTTGTTTGCTTCCACAAAAGCAAACATTAGCAAGAAACAGCTTCACTTTGACTTATAGTAGTTTTAGAGTTGGAAGGGATTTTTGACTTTCCCTGTGATAGCTAAAGGAAAACCAGATTTTTAAAAAATGACCCTAAAAAGTATAATTAATTATTAAAAAGCAATATGTAACAACCTAGTTAGAATATTTGAATATGTATTTGTCCCGATTAGAAGTAAATAAATAACATTGTTATTTCATTATTAGAAATTATTTCCTGAATCTGTTTGTCACTTCTTAGTGGTATATATATTTAGGACATATGGATATTAGAATAAAAATATTGCTCTAAAACATCAAATTCCAGTATCATTTGGGGACTTATAATAAGGAAGAACAGCTACCATTATGCCAAAATTAGCTGTCTTTTATACTTAGTTTATAAATTATTTATTAAAAAAACTTCACTTTTACCTACTTCCTATTTCTCAGTAAATAATAACTAATTTTTTAGTTTAAATTTCATATTTTTAACATTTATACTAGTATGAACTTCTATTTCATGCATCTATATTCTACTTATAATCTTATTCAGCACTGGTTTTCTTACTGCCTTGGGCTGCCAGGAAGGCTCCCCAAAGCAGGTGGCGCTCCAGACTGTCACTGCCCATTTTAGTCAGAGTAGTTGCACTTTTAGTTATTTCATAAACATTTAAATTTCTAAAAGATGATTTTATTTGAAGAAAAATTTCCAACCAAAAACATTTAAACCTTTGATAAAACATAGCTACTTATTAAAGTCAGGGGTAATTGTTACTTATTCTTTTCTATCCTTGGACCCTAAATTATATTTCATTTTTATCTGGGTCATACACATCAAATATATTTCAAAGATAATGCATTTTAGGGATGAAGAAGTCAGGATGAGTACAACAGGTAGGAAGAACTAGATGAGTTTAATGCATTTTATCTAGGTTGTTCAAAAGACTCTATAGGTTGACATTGTGAAATTGATCTACTGACTGAACTTTTAGCAATAATATGAGTACATAAATATATAACATAATATCCTCTATATACACATAATGGACATATCATACTGCCTTGTGCACTACGGTCCAGTAAAGTCAGTGGTGTTCTTCACAACTGCCTAGAGGGAAGTGAACTCAAGAATTTATTGTTTGAGCATTAATGAAACCTATCTGTCTAGCAGCTGTGGGCTCCTTAGGTTTTTGTCTCTCCAGTTTCCAGCTGAGCAGATACTTCGAGCTCTTGCCTTCTAGCACATGTAGCCCTTCTTTGAATTGGCCGTGTAGCTAAATACAATTAGAGTTATAGCTTCTAATAGATTGATCTTTAAAAATTTATGGCGTAAAATTAAGAACATCCCACACGTGGAATTAATTTCTTCTTTGTGTATCCTTCAGTTTGTTTTTTCAAATTTACTTAAAGTATCAAAAAGAAGTGACATTGTTCTAAGAGCTGGTAAAAGCAAGTATAAATTTAAATGAGCTAAGAAAGAGGTGTCTGGCTGGCTCAGTCAATGGAGCCTGTGACTGTTGATCTCAGGGTTATAGGTTCAGGCCCCATTTTGAGTGTAGAGATTGCTTAAAATGAAAATCTTTTAAAAATAAAAGAAAATAAGCTAAGAAAAATGATATGCAGCATATTATACTTGCCACAAGGACACATTGACAGTTGCATTACCTTTGTGTTCTGTTCATGGACTCTTCTTGGTATATAGGTTATCTGTAGCCCTAGAAAGGAGAAGGCAGGTGTGCATAGCAAAAGAGTGGGATAAGTGGACTGTATTTCCCCTGAACCTCTTCAAGGGCTGATCTCATTTATTTGTCACAATCTCTCAAACTCTTGATTCAGCCTTTTTTTCTATCATTTCTTTTTTTTTCTAGGTTGCTACCTTTTCCTGGGAACTGCCTAGCATGTCATTCTTAACTTAAATTTTTTACTATACTGCTCAATACTAACACTGTTTTATTTTTCTTTTCACAAACTTGTCTACTAGTCATAAAGTCTGTGTCTGTTCAAAGTTCTAAATAGGGTCTTTGAAGGTTGGTGCAGCATCATCCATGGGTGATTCTTGCCTGATGATCGTCAATGGAGATTTTCCAACTCTACCCCTCCCTCCTGGACTTAGTAGCCAGCAGTCTATTTTAAGGAAGAGCCCACCTTATTTATATTTTTAAATCTATTTATTGTGAACAAATACTCATGAATCCATTACTTTCCTTATTTATTTTGATGCTCAAATTGTGCCCGATTTATCCAAGGACTATCCTTTCAAGATGACTTTTGGCTTGTTTCTTCATACACCATCTTTTTTTTTTTTAAAGCACCTCATTTTCAGACATGACAAATGTTCCAGGCTCATTTGAAACTTTCCCTGCCCCACTTGTGGAATCAGCTAGTTCGTCAAGTTATGCCATTTCATTTTAGAGAAAAATGATATTTATGAATCAAGCTCTGGACTTGTGATAAATAAGTGAGTGGATAGGTAGGTAGGTAGATTCTTAGGTATTTTTAAGAAATTATGAGTCATACTAACACCTCCAATTTTAATCTAAACCACAGAGTTCTTACTTGCTGTTCCTCATTTCACATTTGTATTTCCCTTCATTCAAAATGAGAACTGTTACTCCTTTTTTTTAATTTTTTTTTATTTTTTTCAGAACTGTGACTCCTAACAACACCAGTACGTTTACCCATTTACCCATTAATTATATAATACATGAGAAATAGTTTCACAGTTGCTACTACCATACCTTATGAAAAATAAAACTTAATAAAAAGATTTCAAGATTTATTTCAAGAGTTCATTAATTTCAGGTTTATTTAAAAGTTCTCTTCCCCCTTGAGTGTACTTAGGTAATTCATTTGTAATATGTTTGCTTGCATGCATTTGTTTGTTTGAATCCAATTTTAGTTGCTTTTGTTGTCCCCATTCTTTTAATGATTTAATTGTATGTCTGGATATCTGTATGTTAACATACTCCCAAAGTCAAAATATTATATATAATACATCTCTCAGAAATGTGTCATTCCCTTCCTTTCTAGCTTGTTCTCCTCTGTCCTTTGCAGGTAACCAATTTTATTAACTTCTGATTTATGCTTCTTCTGCATCTTATTGTAAAATTAAGCATATGTGCATAAATATGTATATGTGTATATTATTACTATTTCCTCTATAAGATATAGCATATTATAAATATTTTTTGTACTTTGCTTTTTTCTGTCTGGGAAATTACTCCCTAATTACTGTGTCATTATATTTATTGTGTTTCTTTCTTTCTTTGCCTGTGTCTTCTTTATTTAGGGTCTGAGATTTTAGCTACTCTCATGCCTGCTACGCTTTAATAGATGCTGGCAGAAGACCTAAGATTTCTGGTCAGAGACAAAGCTCTTTATTACTGACAGCACCAAAGGTAGCACTATGTGGTTATATGGGTTCTCTGTGACCCGCAGGTTCCAGGGGGTGATGCTGCATACTCAGTGAGTTTGTGTCACAGCTGTGCGACTCTGTTCTTTAAAGAGCTGACAGGGAATTGGCTCAAACTTTGCCCAAGAGAAGGATACTGTCTTTAGTATTCTAATTTGGTAACAAAACTGCCTTTTGGTCCAGGGCGCAATTCTTTATCCTCCCTCCAAGACTGTTTATATGTTTAAAAAGATAGTTCTGAAGAAAGGCTATTGGCTGATATAAGATATGCAGAACCTATGGAGAATTGTCTCCAAAGAGCTATTATTATTATTATTGTTATGAAGTTTGTATTTTTGTTCTGGTGGTTACCTAATGCATAATATTTTTTCCTCCTAATTGCTACTTCACTTGTTAAATGTCATTCCTTAGTTTCCACATGTTAACTTTCGTTATAGCCAGTGCTTCTATTGTACTTCGCTTTCCTCTTTTTCCTCCCATTTCTTCTGGTGTTCTTGCTACTCTGTTGGGATATATGGTGTTTACATACTAGTCTTCTATCCATGCTGTCACCATTTTTTTGGAATCACCTTTAAAATTAACTATATTGGGACCCTGGGGTGGCTCAGTGGTTGAGCGTCTGGCTCCGGCCCAGGTCATTACCCTGGGGTCCTGGGATGGAGTCCTGCATCCGGCTTTTGCAGGGAGCCTGTTTCCCCTCTACCTGGGTCTCTGCCTCTCTCTCTCTCTCTCTCT